GTGTATGGAAGCAGGTGTACGACAAGGGTGTCCTTTGGCGCCTTTGCTGTACTTGTTTGCTGCGCAAGCCCTTTTGTGTTGGTTACAGCACTGCCAGGTTGGTGTGGCGCTTGATCCGTTGGATTCCTCCCTTACCACAGCTGTTCAGTTTGCTGATGACACTGAAGTGGTGTTGCGAGGGCCTGATGCGGTGGGGGATTTCCTCCAGCACATGGAGACGTTTGCGAAGGCGTCGGGTCAACGCTTGAATTTGGACAAGGTAGAGCTCTTGCCAATAGGGGTTCAGACGGGTACTGAGGGGCAGCAGGTTATTCATGGAGTGTCGGTAGCTCGTACGGCAGTGGCGCTTAATGTGCCTTTTACTAACTCGGACACGGTTCCGGGTCTTGACTGGAGCAAACGGTTTCAGGAAGCGGAGAACCGCTTACAGAAGTTGGCTCGCCTTCCACTTTCCATTTTTGGTAGGGCTACCGGCGCAGCTGCTTATGCTTTGCATACGGTAACTTGGCACATGGAGCATTCCGGTTTGCCTCCGGGTGATCAGTTGGACAACCTGGGGAGGTTGGTGGCTAAGTTTATTGATCGGCACCAGGGTCCGCAGGATAGGGAGCGTCGTGCCACGGGTGTTCCGGGTAGGCTGTTAGCAGGTCACCCCAGGGCAGGGGGTTTTGGTGCCTTGCCTTTGATTGAGCATATTCGGGCCCGTTTTGCTTGTTGGGGTGCCCGTTTAGTTTGTTCCGCCGTGATGCCAAGGGATTCCTTACATCCCTGGCAGCGTGCTTTGCTTCTGTACCTTCGGCGGTTGCATCCGGCTTTTGGTCCCCTATCATTGTTGACAGCGTCCAGGAGGGGGCCTTGGTTGGGTGTGGATGGTTTGCCTGAGGATATTCGTCGGGTTGTGACTTCTATGGCAATTTTACCGCCAGTTACTGACATTGGGTCGGAGCCTTTGGTACCGGGTAGCTGGTGTTGGGGTGTTCCGTTGTGGGGTAACCCTTTCTTGCCGGTTGGGCTGCCGGGCCAACCTGGTGTGTTGGGTTTGGAACACCACTATCCGGTGCTCGTTCATTGCCATGCCCTGCGTTCCTTGGGTATGTGTGTGGCTGCCCTGGCTCAACTTCGTTGTTTTGAGGACACGTGGGATTCAGCGTTGTTGAACGGTGTGTCGGGGTTGCTGAGGGCAGGGTGATGGAGAGGTGCTGGTCCGCTCTTGTAAGTCGGTTTTTGGACCCGGCGTCCCCGGATGCCTGTGCTCTTTGTTCGTTGCCTAGGTGTCGTGATCTTTTGACGTCTCTTGAGTCGTTGTTGGGTGCGGTGCCTGTGGCTTGGGTGGAGGCTGCTGAGACTTTTCTTGTTGATGCCTTGCCGCCCCAACCTCCGCCGGCTTCTGAGGTTGATGCTTGGCAGGTTTTGGTTCCACGTTTGGGGTGGCAGTTGCCTCATGTTGGCGCCGTTCCTTTGAGAAATCTGTCGGTTCGGATGGCTACCGTTCTTCAGCTTGGGGGTGTGTTTGAGGAACGTGCTGTGTTGCATGCGGCTTTTATTCGGGAGGCCCTGGGGTTACCTGCTACCCAGCAGCTTCCTGAGGGTGTCTTGGATGGCCTTCGTGATTCTTTCCAGCGTCTTTGGTCAATTCGTTGGGAGAATGGTTTCAAGGAAGCGTTTTGGCGTCTTTCTATTGATGGGGTTCCCTTGCTGGGGAATTCTCATATGTCTAGGGCTCGTCCTGAATGTTGTGGTTGTGGGTCCGTTGTCTTGGGGGTGTCTCCGCGGTTGCATCTTTTCTGGGCTTGTCCTGTTGCTCGTGCTGTGGTTGAGCAGCTTGAGGTCACGCTGGGTGTTGCGGTTCCTCGGGCTGCCTTGTGGTTGGCGTTGCCTCCTTCGGGCGTGCAGCAGTGCGTTTGGGATGTTGTTGTTTTGGCTGCTTTGTCCGCTATGGAGGAGGGTCGGCGGTTGTTACGGGCTCGTGTACGTGAGTCCGGTTCTGCGGGTGTTGTGCCTGGGCTTGCTGATGTGGTGGCCCTGTCTGCTGTTTCCTGGTTCTGGGGTCAGCTTCGGGGTTTTGCTTGTTTGGGTGTTCCCCGTCGGGGATGGGCTGGGGTTGGCCCTTCTCATCCTTTCTTACGTATTGTTGGCGGGCGGTTTTCTGTGGGCCGTTGAGTGTCCTGTGTTTGGCCCTGATGTCTTTGGGGTGGTGTGTTCGTGGCTTCCGGTTTGGGTTGTCTTATGCCCTAGATGAGGTTTGTCGAGGTTTGCTGAGGGGCCTTTTTTGGCTTCTACCCTCTTGTTTTCCTCCTGTGGTTTCTTTTAGGGCTATGTCTCCCATCTTGTTGGCCCGTTGTGGTGCTGTCTCTACGGTTTGTTCCGTTTCTTTTGCAATGTAGGGTTGGGTTCATCACCCGTGTTCCCTTTTAGGGTACCATTGTAACGGTCATTCATTCATTCAGGTGGGTTGAAGCAGCTGCCAAACCCGACCCGACCCCCAAACCCGACCAGTTACATGCACAGGTTTTAAGCGGACGTGAAAAGCACATTGCACACTGCCACTGCCCCCATCATCCCCAGCGGGGCGAAATTCCTTCTGGCGCATGGCGCACTCGTGGAGGAGTGGTTCCCAGCTTCCACTTCAGGACCAGGTCTGCCGGGACAGCAACCCAAAGCCCTGCCAGCCTGCTGCAGTACGCTAGAGTCGCTCGTGGTGCTGCCAAACAACAAAGTCAAATGCACCCTGCGCGACTGGGACGCTGCAGTGGCCTTCAAAGCTCAGCTAGACAACTAGACGGCACGGCAGAAAGTGGCAGAGGTGCCCGACGTTGCAGGCACGCAGGTGCTCACGCAGCAGCCAGCGCCTTCGCAGCTGCCGGCGCCCTCACAGCAGCCGGTAGAGTTTACCCAGGGGAGGGAGCCCGGCGCCAAGAAGAAGAAGGCGGAGGACCGTCGGCCATTTCCGCTGGCCGCGTTACTGAAGCAGCTCCAGCAGCAGGTGTTTGTCGCTAAAGAGGCGATATGTCATTGCTTGGCTTTGTCGCGAAGGCAGGGAACATGGAGAGGGTCAAGTTTATTTGCCGGGCTGTCATGAGAATTGCAACAGTTGGCTTAAGGGCTTTCACGGTTTTGCTTCTGACTGGAGTTTCTAGTCCTAACGGCGCTTTAATGAGTGTTGCCGGTGAGGCTGTTAAAGTGGTTAGGCTTTGTCATACGTTTGGATGAGCTGCTCGCTTACCGGTTATGCTTAGCTGATAATGCTGCGACCCGAATAGGCGAAACAATACTTGTTAAGAGTTTCCTTTTATAGTCGTGGAAAGGATTTAAGCAATGGTCTGTTGGCCTCCGAGACCAAGTACGGGAAGCTGTCCGAAGGTGGCGAAAGGCCTCTGGAATGTTCTAGAGTGTCTGGATTGTTCTAAAATTACGTTGGCAGCTTCTGGCAGCTTCCGTAGTAGGATCTGGCAGGCCAATAGTAGGTTGGCAGCTTCTGGCAGCTTCCGTAGTAGGATCTGGCAGGCCAATAGTAGGTTTCCATACAAATGCCGTACAAAATGCCGTATATTTACATTAGTATACCAGACCGAAGGCGATCTCATGGCCTGCCCAAATGGTTGTGTAGCTGGCATGGCGGGCTGACGGTGCGGCGGGGTGCGTGGTTGGGTGCGTTTTTGCGGCCGTTTACGAGGGCGGCTGACGAGGGGGGGCTGACGTGGCTGCTTAGGAGAGTGGCGCATGGGCGTCCCGTTTGGGAGGGTTGGTTGGCAGCGTAGTAGGGACACATGAGGGAGGCGTTTACATCGTTGAGCGGCAGGCCAACACAGGGCCAATGGGCACATTGCACCGGCAAGCCCGGCGTCTGCGGCCCTCAGGGGCAAGTCGTCTTGCCAATAAGGAGGGTCGCAATTGCGTTGGCAGCCCGGGGGTATCAGAGGCGTGCACAGTACCTGACGCGCTGTCCTAGGTCTCAGTTGCCCTCGCTGCCACCCTCATCCGAGTCATCGCTGGGGCTATCCGTGCCATCGTCTCCCTCATCCTCCCCATCGGAGCCTGTTCCCTCATCCTCGTGGTCAGCAGACTCCTCCACATCGCTGCCCGTGGGCACATCCTCGTCCTCAGACCCTGAAGCAGCCCCACCCCCCTCCTCACTGTCCTCCCCACTGCCGTCACGACTGCATGTGGATGCCTCGTCCTCCGAGGCGACTGCATGGGAGGCCTCAGCGCCGTCACCAGTGGTGTCAGAGGGCGCGCTTCCGTTGGGGCTGTCCGGAGCGTTGCCACCGTCGCACATGTCTTCGCTTGGATCCTCAACCTTATGGAAGGCGCGGATGGTGATGAAGACATGCTTTTGGCCCCTGCATGGATTGGGGCAAGGTGGGGTTGGCGCAGGGGTCAGAGCGGAGCGGGTTGCAATGGATGGTGGGCGGTCAGGTTAGGAGGGCGTGGTGTGTAGCCCCGTAGAAGTGCGCCAAGCAGCAGGCGCAGCGGGGAGCAAGGTAAGGAGGCGGTAGGAATCGGTGCGAGGAAGTCAGGGCAGCAGGTGTTGTGCCCCACTCACGCGCGGAGGTTGGCATCAGTGAGGGTGAGGGTGCCGTCAGACATGTCCAGCAGGGGGGTCAGCACGAGCTTGTTGAACCTGCGGCGGCTATCCAGCATGATGGCGCTGGCCTTGATCGCTGGAATCCCAAGGTAGGCGTGCAGCGCCTCGTCAATGAAGTGCAGGTCAACCTGGTAGGCGGTGCCATCGACCTCACAGGCCTCGGTGGTGGCACTGAGGTCGAACGTGTTGTACGTCTCTGGCGCCTTTTTAAGCTTGCCGTGGATGGAGCACCTGGGGAGAGGGGGGTTGGAAGCAGGGAAGCGGCATTGATTGAGGGCACGGATTGACGAAGTTGCCAAGGGGGCACAACAGCAAGGGTAGGGAAAGGAGGGCGGCGGGGAAGACTGCTCTTGGCGAGGCGGCCTATTAGGCATGCAGTAGGTAGCTTACGTGTAGGTTGGCCCAGCCGCCACGACGAGGTACTTGCCACAAGGGGCGCTGCTTGGGGGGATTGGCTCAGTGCACAGGTAGGCAAACGGGTGGTTCACATTGCGCAGGGCCTTAAGCTGCACCCGCAAGTCGCTAACATGTACACGACGGAGTGGGTGGTGCAGCGCCGCGGTGATGGCCTCCGTCAGGGTGTGAGCAGGGCAGTTGTTGTCTTGCGGGCCGGCACACTGCCGGTGGGTGTGGCAAAGGACAGGGTGAGTCAGGCGAGGGCAGGGTAGGTGGGCGAGGTAGGAGCAAGGCATATGCAGCATCAAGCCGGGAGGGGGTTGGGGGGAAACAGGCAATGCGGAGGGGCGCCCATGTTGTTGGGCTTACCGTGAACGCAAACCTGGTGCTGCCGATGGCGGACTCGGACGCCAGGGGTTCCTTGGCCTCCACGATGCTGGTGAGGGCGCGGGAGGTAAGGGAGTACTGGATGGTTCCATTTGTGCGGTAGATGCGCATGGCGGCGTTGGTGATGAGGAGCACTTGGCCTTCCTGCCAGGCCTTCTTCGCATGGTCCCTGAGGGTGGTGTAAGGAAGGGAGGAGAATGGGTCGGCATGGCCGTGCGTAGCAGCAGCGGCAGCAGCAGCAGCAGCAGCAGCACAGAAAAGAGCGGGGCCGAGCAAAGGCAGCTCCGCTGGCTGCATGTGCACACTCTAGTGAACCCCAAAAGCAAGCTCTGCATGCATCAGGTGCCGGTGGTGGCATCTTTGAAGCAGTGGGTTTGATGATGACAAGGTGCTTACAGTCACGTCACTGGCATTCCTAGCCCTAACTAAAGTCCAGGAGCAGGCGTGAGTTGTCGTTGGGGGGCACATGCAATTGTTATGAGTAGCGGGCAAGGTGGCGGAGGGGTCCCATTGCGAACTTACCCCCATAGCGACATGGAGATGCTGTGGGTGGATGTGCAGATGGAGGCGTCGTTGTCAGGGGCGACCAGGGTGAGCTCCCGCATCTGCGTGGCGCGGCCCTGGACGTCTTTGGAGGTGACTGCAGAAGACCCTTGGACAGCCGCTGTGGCAGGGGGTATGAAAGGAGAGGGGCGGTTGGCAAAAGAGGCATTTGAGTTGTTAGGGACGGCTGTTGCGGCATGGCCTGTACAGGGTGGGCTGGAAGCAGGGACAGGGTTCATTGGAGCGGGGTGCATGAGTATTGCTGCTCACACCTAACACGAGGCCGAGTTCGTACCAAGGATGTTGACAAGGTGGTCATGGGGGACAGTGCCATCCTTGCAGAGGGCCATGTCCGTGAGGGGCACCAGCAGGAGGGGGTGCTTGGGGATGATTTGGGACTTGGCATCCTTGACATGCAGGGTCAAGGGGTTCTTGGACAGGCTGAATTTGTCAGCATCATCCCTCCTGGGGCAGGGCAGGTGGCAGGCAACAGTGGCCAAAGTGAGGGATATGTAATATGTGGTGGGCCGGGGGGGGGGGGGGTGGATGCTGTATGTTATGAGCTATAGGGCATGGCTGGTGGGGCCAGGCAAGGAGCAAAGGAAACCCAAGCCGCATACACCATTACAGTGCTTACTTGACAACGGGGTTGACAATGAGAACCTTCCAGTTGTCCATGATGTCTGCTAGGTGGCGTGCGTTGTCAGCACCCAGCGCCAAGATATCAATGGAGGTTGTGGAGTCATCCAGGTCGCCAACAACCAGGCGCGTAAACTTTTTGGAGGTCTTGGAGTCGTAGGTCTTGACCGCACGTACGTAGGCTTGGATGGTGACATGCAGCTCGCGGCCATTGGTGTGCAGCTTGGCAGCGTCCACCTCGTCCAGGGAGCTGCGCAGGTGCACATGCTTAGCAGCTTCCTGGGGGCGGGGGGGGGGGTTCGGGTCAAGGGTGTTTCAGGGCGTGTGTGTGTGTGGGGGGGTGGGGTGGGGTGGGGGGACTGGCTGGGTTGGCCTGGGCCGCCTAAGCGGTGTTGATTGGAATGGCTGTGCAGCGCCTGGCAAGGTGCATGGCTGCAGTGTTGCACAGGTGGGACATGGACGGAAAGACGGATGGCAGGCAAGGCAGATCGTTCCGCTCCTTTATGACCCTCCCCACCTGGGCTGAGCGCTTCGTGTCTGGCCGGCCCGAGATTGGCGTGCTGGCCGTGGCCGTGCGCTTCTGCCCAACAGCCAGTACCTGTAAGGAGAGCGAGAGAAGGTGGCTGATGTAGGAGCGGTAAAGGCAACAAGGGGCTTGCAGCTCTGGCAATGGTGAGCAAGTCACCTTTGGGGGGGTCTTGGGCGTGGTGTCCTCGTGCACCGGCTGTGGGCATTTCTGCAAGCATGGGCGGTGGCAGCACGTGTTGTAGTCAGGTCAGGTGCTGGTGCAAAGGTAACGCCTTGTAGCATTGGGGATGTCGGACGGGGCTGGGCGCACCTGGTCCAGGAACGAGGACACAGTCGAGAGGTAATAGTCCTGGTCAAAGCGGTTGATGGCCACCCAAGAGATTTTGCCAGAAGGACGCATCTTGAGCTGCACCTCCTTGGTATTCTTGGGCTCATTGTAGCGTGCGTCGATGAGGCAAGCCACCTTGTCCTCCGTCTGCGTGGCAAAATTAAGCAACAAGGTGGTCAAGAAAAGTTCTCTAGTTGTAGCTTCCAGCGCCCCTGGGTGGCAGACTACTTACAATGTCGCTGCGCATCCGGCTGCGCCCGGCGGCGGGCTTGGCGGTGGCCGGCGGCAGGTTGCGGCCCGAGCTGTGTGCTGCAGCAGGAGATGGAGCTGTAGGCTTATCCTTGCTGCGGGTCTGCTTCGGCGGGGCCTGCAGCAGAGTGCGGTTCGGATGTTGGGCGCAAGTCGTCCTCTGTAGGAGCACAACGGTCCGAATGCCAGTGTAAGGCACAAGGAAAGGAGGCTTACCTTGGTGTTCTTGTCAGCGGCAGCCTTTGCTGTCGGGTGGCTCCTGCCGCCAGGCTTGTCGCATGTCGGTGAGGGCCTGGCGGGCTTGGGCGGTTCCTGTGAGACAGCACGCGCGCGGGTGTTGTTCAGGTGGTGTTATTTGTCAGGGGGTTGTTATGTTGGAGGAGGCAGCCAGCAGGCAACCTTGCTGCGGCGGCCAGTGCTCATCTCCTTATAGTTGGGCTGGCTAGTGCTGCGGGGTGGCCGCTCCTGCAGGAACAGCATGGATGCGATGGGTAGTTCAATAGGTCTCTGTTGGACGGAGGGGCCCGTAATGATGAGGCTCTACCTTGCGACCTTTTGGCTGCATCGCGTCCAGGGCAAAGGTGCGATACAGCGGTGGGCGTTGTGTGCAATAGGAGGGCTCTGCAGTGGGCGGCTGTGATGTGTTTGCTATAAAGTGTGCTGTGCGAGGTTTTGGTGATGGTGAATTGGACGTTTGTACGAGCACGGCTGGCTGTTCCGGAGCGCAAAGATAACGCTTTGGAGCATGAAGCGCTTTCCCACGTTGATTTTGCAAAGTAAACATGGATGTCTGCAGTGTCCTTCGCACTGGCTGCGCGCATATGTTTAGAGGCGCTGGCGCGCGAGACGAGTTTGTTGCACATGTCTGCAAACTCTGGCCGTTTGGCGACCTTGCTCCGATAGATGCTGGAGTTGTCACTAGGCAATGCACTGCGGCAGGATGCCGCGGAACACTGCGCACCTTTGTTGTGGCGGATGTGCCTGCTGGCGTGCGTTGGTGCGCCGAGCACAACGCGCACAGTAATGTGTCTTGCTTGGAGGTCAACAGCAAGCGTGACAGGTGGGGCTTGTTATGGTGTTGGGAGCATTTTGCGGGGAGGACGAGATGACGGTTATAAAAAAGTTAGATTTATTGCTTGCTATTGTTTTTTCTGGAATTGCAGGGCCTGTGTCGCAGCCACGATGCAGATGGCGGAGGCTGCTGGGGCGAGCAGCGACGCTGGCGTTCTGTGCGGCATCCGCAGGTAAGCTTGTGGTCCCCGAGCGACTATGCGCGTGCCACCAGTATCAGTAGTTGTGATTGTAAGACTTGTGAGCCTTTTCTTTTTTCGACGTCCCAGGTTGCCGCACGCTGTGGACAAGGCTGTGGTCGGCATTGACATTGAGCATGGCGATGTGACAGAGCTGCTGCTGTCGTGTGCTCGCAATCCGCCGCTCAGGGAGTGGCAGGTTGAGTTCCATCGGCGGGAGGCGGCTATGAAGCTGCTTGTCAGGCACGGCGCGGCTGTGAGCCCTAATGTGCTGGTGTTTGCGGTGGGGGAGGACACCTTGGAGCAGCAGCAGGCAGCTTTTGGCGCGAGGCAGCAGCACATGACATGGGATGGCGAGTTGTTAGAAATGCTGGATGCGCTTCACAACGTCACGGGGAGGGAGTTGGTGGTGATGCTGAACTCGGCATCTGGGAGCGCTATGCCCGCAGCAAGCGCTTCAGCAGGGGCAGCAGCTTCAGGGTCGGGCATTTCAGGGGCCCGTGGGGTGTTTGCAGGACGCGAACAGTGTGTGGCGGCGGTGGTGCTGCAGGTAGGGCTTTCTAGGGGTCCAGGGGGGCTGGGCATGTGATGTGCTGGGTGTTAATGCAGGGAGGGTGGTTTAGTAGAGGGCTTCTTACGGCTGCGTGGCCCGGGGGTATTACGCCATGGCTCACTGTGTGCGCCCCCCTCCCCTTTTCTCCCTCCCTGTCCCTCTCCTAGTGTGTGGACCCAGCTGTCATCTGCCGGCTGCGTGAGCTGTACGAGCTTGCGTCGCTGATGAGGGGGATGTTCTCCACAGTGGTGCGGCACCAAGGGGAGGGGCAGCATGTGGTCAGTATGGCGGGAAACGCCCTCATTCTTACAGATCAGAAGGCGATCGCGCCTGGGTAAGTGCTGTATAGGAAGGTTGGTGTGTTGGGGCTGCCTGTAAAGGCTGTCATCTGCCATGACACCCTGCCTCTGCCCACTGCACACAGCAAAGCCGCTGTTGTTTTCATGGTAACCCACTCCATGAGCAACTTGGCTGCGTTGTGGGCAGCACTGAGCAGGGGCAAGGGAAGAGGGTGAGGGGCCGGTTACCAGGTGCATTGCTCGTGAAGCCAGGCTGTACCACCCGCAGCCTGCGCTGACCCCGCAATGTGCCTGTGGCTCAGGTTGGGTTGCTTAGAGGGCTGTGCATGGCATGGATGTCCAGGATTGTGTTGCATGCTTCATGCTTCCGCACAGGTACGCATGTCAAGTGCTTCAGCGCACAACAGCACGGCTGTCCCCCACGGCGGCGGACAAGGCGCTGAGGGAGCTTTGTGAGGAGGTCTGGGGCTGGGCAGTGCAGCGGTTGCCGTTGCTGGCAAAGTACAGGTAGGATGGGGCATGGTACTGCTGGTCCTTATAGTTCATAGGTATTTGGGATGAAGGATGTAGATGCATGCAAACATGTCATGGTTAGCAGAGTAGGGGGTAGGGGCTGACAGGCTGCCAGGGATGAATAGTACCCAACGCGTGCCTCCAAAGAGGGAAAGGGTGGAGTGCATGTCCTGTAACTTGCATCCTGTACCTCCAATCCAGGGGGGGGTAATCATGCGGACATCATGGTGAAAGTTAGGCAGGGCGCGGGAATGAGGGCGTGAGTAGCGAGCAGTGGGTAAAGAGGGAGATGGAAGGATGTGCATTCAGTAGAAGGGGATGGGGGGGGGGGCTTGGTGGTTTGTGTTGGGTGAGGGGACTGCTGCGACATGGGTCCCCACCTGTGTGTACATGGCAGGCAGGAGTTCCTGACGGAGCTGGGGCAGGGCATGTGCTTGGGGGCCTGTGCTGCGTCGCATGTCGCCATGACGGACAATGCATCGGTGGAGCTCCATCTGGATGGCAATGATGGTGAGTGCGGGGGGTTGGTGGGGGTGGTGGGGGGGGGTGGGGGAATAGGGAAGGAAGGGGATGTGGCCAAGCAGTAGCCGGGGCATCATAAGCTGTGTACACTGACAATATACACCCTGCTGTGTGCCATGCTGCACCCACTGTAGGACCCTTGTCCTTAATTCTGTGGTTGCATGGTGGCAGCGGGCAGCTGCGGGGCGGGTCCTTTTGCATGCCGGGCTTAGGGGTGCGCCTGGTTCCCTTGGACTGCACAATGGTGGTCCTGTGCACCAGTCGTGTCTGGCATGGCACTGCTCCCCTGGCGGCATCGAGCAGGGGGGGCAGCAGCCATAGCAGTGCCAATAGCAGCAGCAGGCCTCCCATTCGGGTTGGTTCGTCACACTTCATCCGGGTGCCGGATGTCACCCAGCTGCTGTACATTGAGGCAGCAGCTGGTGGCAGGCAGGCCATGGAGGAGCGCCAGGCGCAGGTCCTGAGGGATGTTGCAGCGGCAAAGCAGCAGCTGGCGGAATATAGTCGGTGGGAGGAGGAACATGCCGCATGGGCGGTGGGCGCGGGTGGCAGCAAGCGGTGTAGAGGATCTGGGGGCCAGAACAGGGTTGCAGCATCTGCATTGCCTCCTCCTGCACCACACACCCCACCAGCCCTGAAGGCGGTCCTGCGGGAGATCAAAGCCCAGCGGGATGCCATGCTTCAAATGGGCAAGGCGCAAGGTGTAGAGGGGTTCCGGCTGGACACTGTGAGGCGGGGCTTTTTTGGGTGGTTGCCCGCTGATGTTAGCAAGCGTGGAGCCCGCAAGGCGGCCAAGAGGGCCGCCCGAGAGGGAGCAGCACCGGCAGAAGGGGAGTAGCACTAGAGGGTTGGGGTGGAGGAAATTGGGTATGCCTGCAGTGATGTGTTGCTGGCTTGGACTAGGGGTGGCTGCGGGCTGTTGTGATGTTCTGTAGTATCAAACAGCGTTTCTGATGCTGTTCGAGACGTGTTGTTAACATGACATCTCTGCTGAAATTTGCTTTGCAGATATTTACAGCTGAATACGTTATCATTTATTCGTTGCAAACCCTCTGATCTCTGCGGTACTTGTAGCATGGCGTTGCTTGGCATTGGGGTTGGTTCCATTTTGTAGTGTTCGACACTCTAATAAGGCTGCGTGTATATTTACACGTGTCCTAACAGAAACGGGTGTCTTATTACACCACCATTTTAAGGACTTCTACTACATGGTAGGAGGGTGGGCGCTGACACATTTAGCGGCATGTGCAGCAGGTGCTTGAAGGAAGCAGTAGTTGGAGGGGCGCGTGCATGCTGGGCAAGTGATGGGTGCTTGGATTTGTGTTGTGGAGGCTTACAAATGGCGAGCAGCCTGATGGCTCTGGCATTTCCATATTTGTTAGAATAGTTGCTTGGGAGATCCCATGAAGAGCTATTGGGTTCCAGAGGACCCCTGCCATGTGTCCCCTAAGGCCCATAACCCACCTTCGTAACCCGCCTTATGATTCCCCTGTTGTGGAAATCCCTCCATCACGTGTACAACTAGTTGCAACTCACATCAAATTAGTGTAGAAATGTCCCCTACGAATGCACCCTGCACCAGTGTGCCGTACCCAAACCTCAGCCAAACCCAACCCCACACCTCAGCTGAACCCAAACAAGAATGCTGCTCAGAGATTGACGGGCATTCATAAGAGGCCTGGCATGCATGTCAACGGGCTAAAAGAATTGCGAGAGAGTTTGTGTGCCCATGATGCCTTAGGCTTGTGTGAGGTGCTGTGCGCCCTCCCACAAGGTTGCATTGTGCCTGTATGCATGAATACATGAATGCCTCGAGCAATGAATAGATGGCGCAGCTATGGCCATGTTTCAGGCCGGTGCGTAAAACAACAGCATCAGGTTCCACATTCCCACGCGCATGTGCTCCTTAACATCCTCCCAGGTACGCAGTCGCATGACATTGGCATCGTTGTAGGCTGCCCACCAGCCAGCCGGTCCCCTGGACGGCTGGGCCGTCACCACAGCAGTGTAGTGGGCACGGCTGTAGCAGAGGAGGCCCGTCAGCTGGTACACCCCGTTGCCTGGGTGGACTCCCTTTGGTCCAAGGATTGTTGCCAGGTCGAGGCGCAGGCAAATGCCTTTAGCAGCGGCGTCAATGTATGCGGGCGTATGCAGGTCTTCCAGCGGCCACTGGAGGTGAACAGTTAGGCACCTGGGCTGGCTGCAGAGGCGGGGCATGCCTCTTGCTCGCTGGCCGCAGCCATGCTGGGTGCAGCGCTGGTCGACCTCCATGCTGAGGCCCAGGGAGGTCTCCATGTCCAGGCCTGCAGAGGGGGCGGCAGTGGTGGGCAGCAGGAGACGGGGTATCGTTGACAAGAAATGTGACACAGGAGAGCATGGGCTGGCAAGGCATTTGGAAATATATGCAGCCATGGGGCTTGCATTATAGGAGAAATGACAAGTGAGGGTGGTGGGAACATGTAATAAGCGAAACAGCAAGTCCCAAGGGCATATCTGAGCTCCTGCAGTGACGGCTGTTGGAGGCAGTATACTAAAGACACCCATGAATACCCTGTTCTGGGATGGGTACTTGCCGTCTGCCAGGTGCTTCATATGCACCTTTAGTGGGGCCTTGTCCCAGTGTGGCTGCGGCTGGTCACGGAAGGTGTGGCCACAGGCATCGCAAGTGAGTACTGCGATGGAAAGGCGGCTCCACAGGTGATTGGCAGGCGTGCCTAGCTTGCGGCCCAGGTGCGTGGTGAGGTCCTCAAAGAGCTCCACAGCATCATGCTGGCCCCCATTGTTGTACTGGCCCGGAACGTGGGAGAGGCGGCCCAAGGCAGCTCGCAAGCGCTGTCCCGGGACTGCAAGCCTGGGGTTCCATGTGGCAAACAGGCATGGCATGGCAGGGTAGGTTTGGTCTCAAGGTGTACCACCGTTCAGGTCTAGCTGCTAACTGTACGCATTTCCAGCAGTTGCAGCAGTCTACTAATTTCCCAACATGTTGTGGACCTAACTGAAGCAGGGTTGGGGCAGTTGTGAAGGATGCCTTGCCCTCACCTTGTGATCTTGTCGTACTCCCCAGCCACCAAGGCCTCCGAAGCGGGCAATGAGGTAGCCTGCTTGTTGGCAAGGACCTTTTGGAGCTCCCGTCCAACAGCATCCTTGCGGACGTGTCCCCGGCGGTCGTGCAAAAAGGCGACGATGTCCTGGTTGTTGAAGATGCAGGCAACTATGGCGTGCATGAAGCACGAGTTGGCACCTGCAAATTGCATCGAGGTGGTGAGGACTACCAGAGTGAAATCTCCGGTCCTTCCGTAAAGTTCATGGGGCTGGCCAGACGCACTCACCAGTTGGGGAAACCATGCCGGCGCTGACAAGAACATCAGTCGGAGGTGCTGCATTGGATTGTTTCGGAGTTACGACTTCCGGTTCCGGTGATGGTGACAGCGAGGTCGCCGTCTGGCCTGTTTTGCACCGGGTGAGCGCGTCAGAGTGGTGCACTAGTTGAGTAGGAGTGTTCAGGGGCGACGGCAAGCCGTGATGGTAACTTGCCTTGTTGGGCAGCTTCAATGGCGTCATGATTCTCCGCGGTGGCTTCAAGCAGGTGAGGAGGCTGCTCCGTCACATTGCGTCTGTTTGGTGTTGCACTGTGCCAGTCGATCAAAAAGTAGCCGTGTCTGTCGGTGTGCATCATGGTTCCTTTCAAGCGTAGGTATCGTGTTCCACCGGCGTCATGATGAAGAATATTTCAAGGTCATGTATATGTTTAATTTTGGCGTCTTCGTTTTGTTACATTACATTGTCGGTGAAGACATGGGGATGTACGGCCGCCGAAATCACTTTTTTTGGGCATTGTCCAAGGCTTTCTTTCAAAGTGTTGGTTAAGGTTGCGTACACACGTCTGAGCTCTGGCTATGTTTCATGGTTGTATGGGAGCCGTGCGTTAGTCCAGGAAGGTCCTGTGCTGGAAGTAGGTGAAGTAGTAGATAACTCGCTACGGTTTACTTGTGTGCACTGTGGGACCTAGGAATGAAGGGTTACGCTAACACAGCCCAATAAAAGCAAGTTGTTTGTTTAAATCATCGACACATGCATGATAAGCATCACTTGGCATGGCAGGGTTGTCAGCCAGCAAGGTTGTTGGGGCTGCCTTATACAGCCCCTCCAAAGCAACGGGGCACTTGTAAACATTGAGCACATAAATGCTGACCATCCCAACGGGCTTGCAAAAAACACGAGGGAATAACATGGTAGGGTGAAGTAGCTTGCCCTGTGGGGCCTGGCGATGCAGGGTTACCCTGACGCAGGCCCTGAAAAAGCAACTGGAGTATTTTAAAGTCAATGTCGCATGCAGGACAACCAGCACATCAGGACTCCAGATAGCACACGAGCCAACGAGGTATGCCTTGCTTCTGCCATCTGACATATCAAGGACGTCACCCAGCCAGGTTGCTGGGGCTGCCTTATAGTGCGTGCGCTTCCAAAGCAACGGGGCACTAGTAAACTGGGAGTAGCGAATGCTGACCACAACAACTGGCTTGCAAAACACACGAGGGAATAACATGCTATGGCTTACTTGTTTGCCCCATGGGACCTGGCGTGCAGGGCTACGCTGACGCAGCCCCTTAAAAGCAAATGGATTGTTCTAAATTCAATGTCACACGCGCGCATGACAACCTGCACATCAGAACTGCGAACAACACACGAGCCAACGCACGAGCTATGCCTTGCTTGTGCTAGCTGGCATAGCAAGGATGGCACCCAGCCAGGTTGTTGTGGCCGCCTTATGCAGCCCCTCGAAAGCAACAGGGCACTAGTAAACTAGGAACACACAAATGCTGACCAGCATAACCAGCTTGCAAACCATAAAAGAGGAATTATTCTGTGGTTTGCTTGCGTGCCCTATGGGACTTAGGAATGCAGGGTTACCTTGACACAGGGAAGGATCCTTTCAATCACGTCACATGCACGATAACCAGCATACATGTCAGGACTGCAGACAACACATGGGCCAACAAGCTATGCCTTCCTTGCGCCTCCTGGCCGCTGTGTACAGCCCCTCCAAAGCAAAGGGGCACTAGTTAACTGGGGGTCGACAAATAGTGACCACCATAACCGTGTCACAAAACACACAACGAGATAACATGCTATGGTTTACTTGCGTGCCTTATGGGCCTGGCAATGTAGGGTTATCCTGACGCAGGCCCTTAAGAAGCAACTCGATTGGTTTAAATTCAATGTGACACTCACTCCTGACAACACATGAGCCAACTAGCTATGCCTTGCTTGTGCTACCTGACATAGCAAGGATGTTACCCAACCAGGTAGCTGGAGCGTCTTATACAGCCCCTCCAAAGCAACGGGGCACTAGGAAACTAGGAGCACAGAAATGCTGACCACCCTAACCAGCTTGCGAAACACACGAGGGAATAACATGGCATGGCTAAGTAGCTTGCCCTATGGGACCTGGCAATGCAGGGTTACCCTGACGCAGGCCCATAAAAAGCAACTGGAGTATTTTAAAGTCAAATTCACATGCAGGACAACCAGCGCATCAGGACTCTAGATAGCACCCAAGCCAAAGCGCTATGCCTTGCTTCTGCTACCTGACATAGCAAGGACGTCACCCAGCCAGGTTGCTGGGGTTGCCTTATACAGCCCCTCCAAAGCAACGGGTCACTAGTATACTGGGAGTAGACAAATGCTGACCACAACAACCGGCTTGCAAAACACACAAGGGAATAACATGCTATGGTTTAGTTGCTTGCCCCGTGGGACATGGCATGCAGAGTCACCCCGACGCAGCCCCTTAAAAGGAACTGGATTGTTGTAATTTCAGTGTCATATGCATGATAACGTGCACATCTGGACTGCAGACAACACACAAGCCAACGCACGAGCTGTGCCTTGGCCGTGCTGGCTGGCATAGCAAGGATGGCACCCAGCCAGCAGGTTGTTGGGGCCACCTTATACAGCTCCTCCAAAGCAACAGGGCACTAATAAACTAGGAACACATAAAAGCTGACCACCATAACCGGCTTGCAAACCACACAAGAGGAAATGTGCTATGGTTTGTAGCAATGCAGTGTTACCTTGACACAGGGAACGATCCTTTTAATCACGTCACACACACGATAACCAGCATGTCAGGACTGCAGACAACACACAAGCCCACAAGGTATGCCTTGCTTGTGCTTCCTGGAATAGCTAGGCTCGCTCTGCCAGCATTCGACGAAAGCAGCAGAGGAAGGCTGCAGATCTGCCTTTGCTGAGTCCTGCTGATATGCCTCAAACCTTACACATAGACTCGCCAACAGCTGACCCACCCCAGCATGGCGCCAGTA